TATGACTTTTGTATGTGAAAGACTTGTAATATGAACTGAGAGACTGCCAAATTTCGTGAAGATATACCCATATATTGAGAGTTATAAGTATTGAATGAGTACAAAAGGTCACGTGACTGGGTCAAATTGACCCACCTCGTAGTGAGAGAGTTAATAAACAAAATCACAGTTGCCCATCAGCTAACAACAAACCAATTTCATCAAATATCATGAAGACTCAACTAAAAGACAGCAAGAAAATCTGATTATATTTACATCTTGATGATGACACTGAGAATTTACATTTTTATACAGTCAGTATTTAAATAAAATGCTGAACACTTTCTTACATAAATGCTATATAAACAAATGAAGGGTGTCCAAGAATTCTGGGAAACACTTTTGAAAAACCATACTAAAAAAAAACATTTATTATGAAGACACACTGTTTGCTGCACATGAGAGAATAATGTTAAAAACTTTTTTTTTACAGTATATAATCACCATAGTTATCACGTGTTACATGTAAAGTGTGTATAACAACATAGCAGGAGTAACCTTTGTGAAGACTTCTTGGATACATTGAAACACCGTCCTTCTGAAACAAGATACGATGTTGTTTGTTTTGGTTTGTGACATAATTCTGAAGCATGTCCAGTTATGTGTTCCCAGTAACAGTTACCTCGTCAAAGAGAAAAACTGACCAATGACAAAGTTACTGATGATTGCTGCTCAGACGGTCACTTTCGGACCATCTCTCACACGTTCACATGATGTAAAAACTTTAAACATTAATGACCTACAAGCTCGGTTAACACAAATAACAGGATATAAGAACAAGGACACTTGTCACAATAAAAGCAACCTGCTAAAAATAAATTACAGATATCCTGAATTTCTCAATAAACAGTGTGAAAACTAAAAGCCAGCCAAAGAAACTTGTATATAATATGTATTGTAGAAACAAGTACTAAACTAACGTAAATAGAATCTTTGATAATGCATATATTTATATAAAACTATCAACACTGTATTACCTAACACAACTCTTAAATTTATTCTGGACTGGCTTTTCTAAAACATTTCTTTTATATTAAAACAATTTTGAACATGGAAATCAGCAAGTCATGTTACAACTACAGCCAGTATAAATTCGATGTGGAATGGCATGTATCAGAACTACATGTTGACATTTCGTAGGTAGTGTGATGCCACAAAAATCTGAAGTTAGAATTTCTAAGACTAATGACACTGGAAGATAAATGAATATGAATCAACCTGGGATATCAGAACCACCCAGAAAAAAAACCTTCAATAAGTCATATGCCAGCTGTGATAAACAAAGTGAGATGTACTGTGACAGGAGTAATTTTTTTTTTTTAAGAATAGAAAGAGTATGTACAAGTTACTCCTACAGATGACAGAAGTTTCTAGGAACAACTCAAGTTACATCTACAGATGACAGAAGTTTCTAGGAACAACTCAAGTTACACCTACAGATTACAGATGTTTCTAGGAACAACTCAAGTTACACCTACAGATGACAGAAGTTTCTAGGAACAACTCAAGTTACACCTACAGATGACAGAAGTTTCTAGGAACAACTCAAGTTACACCTAAAGATGACAGAAGTTTCTAGGAACTCAAGTTACACTAACACAAGTTTCTAGGAACTCAAGTTACACTAACACAAGTTTCTAGGAACTCAAGTTACACTAACACAAGTTTCTAGTAACTCAAGTTACACTAACACAAGTTTCTAGTAACTCAAGTTACACTAACACAAGTTTCTAGTAACTCAAGTTACACTAACACAAGTTTCTAGTAACTCAAGTTACACTAACACAAGTTTCTAGTAACTCAAGTTACACTAACACAAGTTTCTAGTAACTCAAGTTACACTAACACAAGTTTCTAGGAACAACTCAAGTTACACTAACACAAGTTTCTAGGAACAACTCAAGTTACACTAACACAAGTTTCTAGGAACAACTCAAGTTACACCTACAGATGACAGAAGTTTCTAGGAACTCAAGTCACTCCTACAGAAGTTTCTAGGAACAACTCAAGTTACACCTACAGATGACAGAAGTTTCTAGGAAACTTGACTTAACATCCAATTTCCTGAAACTCAAAAGTCTTGTTAGAAATTTACTAAGATATAAAATTTTGAATGTTTTCAATTTTTCCAAAACATCATGTTACCAACTTTAATGGTTAAATGTATGAAGATCTCTTTCAGAAATTACAAAGATATAAAAATGGGAATTGAATACTGTAAAAATGATAATTTTGTGTTAGTCAATGATACATCTGACTGTTGCAGCTATACAAAACCTAGTAAATCAGTCTCAATACCAAACATGATTTATGATTAGAGGTTAATAGCCCTCGTACGCTGTACGATATTACTACTACAGAAAATCTTTGCTTGCAGACTTTAAAATGACGTAAATAAACAACAAACATTTGCAAAAAGAACTTGACTGTGTTGTCATACCACATCCACTAAACTTTCAAACTGAGGGCAACAGCTGTTTTCAGACAATCAAGTTCTGTAAACTTTCAAACTGAGGGCAACAGCTGTTTTCATACAACCAAGTTCTGTAAACTTTCAAACTAAGGGCAACAGCTGTTTTCATACAACCAAGTTCTGTAAACTTTCAAACTAAGGGCAACAGCTGTTTTCAGACAACCAAGTTCTGTAAACTTTCAAACTAAGGGCAACAGCTGTTTTCATACAACCAAGTTCTGTAAACTTTCAAACTAAGGGCAACAGCTGTTTTCAGACAACCAAGTTCTGATTCAAACATGTTAAACTTCTCACAACTGACAAACGTTGAGCTTCAAACATCAAAAATGTTTAGCAATTAATTATTCCTTTAACACTAGGTAAGTACGATAACTTTAGAAACAGTTTTTGCAGTTAGAGGTCATTGCGTGACTTGTGTACAAGGTGGAAAGTTGCAAGTCATTCTAAAATGTGCTACTAAGTACAAAACCTTGTCTAAACTGTGATATCGATGATTGCAAGCTAATACCTCGCATGCATCTTTGTATAATATTTTTTGATGCATCATTTCCATGATTAATTGTATAAAAATACTGGAAAACATTACTTTGAAGGGGGTGGAAGAACAAGACATTGTTAACTTGATAAGCTCAAAATCTCATGTTGAATGTTGAACATTAGGGAAAATCTCATTAAAATAAAAGTGTGTCATTCTTGGTGAACCTTAAAGAAAGCTATCAATGAAATCACTACTTCCTCATAAGTACACTTCATATAAATACCTGAGTTGGATCCACCTCCCCCTGGATAATATTTAGGATACTGATATAACAATGGTTAGCATTCCGGTCATGCGTTGTGGACACCATCATGTTCTTCGGCTGAAGGAGTCTTCTCATGACATCAAGTACTGTGGTTTTTCTAATTCCAGCTACCTGGAAATGTCAAGAAAAATTAATCTTGTGGAATCTTCTCTTTTTTAAAAATAAACTTAACTATTTTACTAGTAATTATTTTTCATGCATAAAACAATTATATCAGTCAACATTTGAGTACTATTTCATGAGTAATAGATCAACTTATTAAGCAGGATAATGATGAAATTTCTTGGTCAACAATTTTACATACTGGATCTGTTTAATCTACATATTGTGTTATGTACTACTGGGTCTGTTTAATCTACATATTGTGTTATGTACTACTGGGTCTGTTTAATCTACATATTGTGTTATGTACTACTGGGTCTGTTTA